TTTATTTTCTATAAATAAATGAGGGGTAGATTTTGGGTACTTTGCATGGCTTTGTTCTACTTTACGTTCTGATAGTGTCTTTAGGTCTTGGGTGGACAATTCACCATGGCGAAGCCTGTTGAGAAGTTCTGTGAACTGAATATCTCCTTTTTGTCGCATGATTTCAGTGAGTTCAAACATTTCGAAATGTTTTTTCCAGAGATTGGTTGCTAAGCCTTGACCTGGGTTTGATAAGTCTTTGAAAATCCAGGAGTCAGCAACAGGTTGAAGCTGATACAAGTCACCAACAGTAATCACACTGATTCCACCAAAATCTGTCTTTCTTCCTGTCAATTGCTGTAGCCTTTCATTGATAAATGTTAACAGTTTATTGCCAACCATGGAAACCTCATCTATGATTACTACTGACAAATTTCTGTACTTAGTCCTAAAAGAGTTTAGCTCGTCTGCATGCATATGTTGCTGTGTTTGATACATTTTTTTGTGAAAAGCAGAAGCAATTGTTGTGCCATTGATGTTGTATGCAGCTTTGCCGGTGTATGCACATAACATAATTCGGGCGTCCTCTGGGTTTTCTCCTTCTTCAGAGCACAACAACCTATGTAATGTTTGATATACTGCATCAATTACTACTGATTTTCCTGTACCTGCTCCACCAGTCAAAAAGGCAAACATTGGTTCTTTATCTCTTAACCAATTTGTGACATGATTATGGAACTCTCTTTGTTTACAATTCAGAGATTGTAGGAGTGTATGGTATTGGTCATCAGGCATGCGAACTGCGCTAGCTTCTAAATCTGCTGGTTTTGAACATAGACCAATATCTGGTCCAATGTCATATTCCTTATGTTGAATAGTGTCAGGGTCAAAATGGATGAATTCTTCAGATGGCACAGCACCTTCTTCAGCATCGTCAGCCTCAACATGCTCCGTGTTAGGAGCAACTTTATCATAATCACATGTGTCTTCCTCAGCTTGCTGTCTTGCTTGTTCCAATTCCTCCACAAAGTGTTCATATACTTTTTGTTTATCTTGGATTGTGTCAGCATTTGTTTTGTAGTGTTCTTCATAAGACTCACAATTGCTAATAATGTCTCTCTGTTCATTCCTCCATGGCAAATACAGAAGAAGGTCTTCTCTGTAATAGACTCTTTTCAGAGTTGGTTTTTCGGCTGAAGCCGACAAATCTGATTACTCTGAAATTTGTACGTTTCCTGATTTTGATGCCATTTTTAAATGTCACTAAAACATCGTCTTTTGTGAATATTTCTGTCTCAGAAATGTCATCTTTCTCGACATCATTCCCAAATTGTGCTTCTAATTCATCTTCATTTTTTTCTTCATCATTTTTATCAGACTTTTCCATTTCCTTTGGAAATGTAACCACTAGCTGGGAGATATAATCAGCCAAGCACCACTGTTCCAGCTGTTTTGGTCGTTTTGAATACCTTTCAATCATACTTTTTGCATGGATGTCTGTGGATTTATCTGGCAAATCGTTAATCTCATTTTCTGTCTTCAGGAGAAAGACTCTTTCATCAGATGTTGATGTGTTAATAAAAACCACATCTCTGGAAGCTTGAGTCAAAGGCATCTGGAGTATAAGATAGCTTGCTTCTTGAGCGCTAACTTCAACAAAATTAAGGAATTTGTTACCAATATGTCTCACTTGGTGCTTCAAGTCCATATTTCCTTCTTCTGCTTCTTGTGATGCCTTTTCTAGCAAAGCGCTTATGCCTCTCTGTGATTTGCTTATATATAAGACAATGTAAGATGCACAAGCATATGGGTCCAGTATGAACTGGATGTCCAAGTTAGCACTCCATGCCTTGAGAATGGCAGCATTATAATAGTTTACTCTCATTTCTGATGGATGTCTTTTCAGGAAAATTTTTAGACTTTTTAACGAAGCTTTGATACATTTAATGTACTCGTCAAGCGACGTCTCTGCAACGTCATTGAGGAAACTTTCAAAGTCCAAATTACAACCATCTTTGTAGTCATTCATCTTTTGTTGAAGTTCATTATACTTTTTTTTTGTATTTGTCAACATCTGTTTCCAGAGGTTCAAGCAGCATAGTTCTTGGTAATGGAGGAAGAGGAAAACCAAATCTACAAATTGATTTGCCACCTTTTTTGCATGTTTTTGAATGCTTGTGTACTTGAAGGTCAACACGGGCTTGAAGTTCAGGATAATTTGTTTGTAATGAACAGGTGACGTATTTGTCTACATAATCCACTATTGACTTTTCATCATCATCTGGATACTTTGGTGCGTCATTTGTCCATAGAAGCATATGTATGTGTGGTGAACCTCTGTTTTGGAACTCGACTCTTCTGAAAAGATCAGTTACTTTTCCAATAGGGTTATGACTGCTTTTTATGACAGTACTGATGAACTCTTGTACTCGGTTGTCAAAGTATCTAGCACATGTCACTGGATCCTTATTCACCAGGTTTGATTTGGCATTCCAGTCCAACGATACAATATCATCATCTGATAGAAGAGTTCCATTAAGTCTTGCCAAGGTTTTTAGCAGATCTGGCCATCTTGTATCGGCAGAAGACAATGACATGAACCATGTTGGCAAACCGAGCTGTCTGATCATTGCAAATGCATCTTTTTTCTTAGATGACAAGTATGCAGGTGAATTCCTGAGTGTCCTGTAAATGTAGTAGCCTTCATTAAGTCTGACAATGTTATTTGCAGATGATTCATTTCGCACTTGCCCTGCAGTTATCTCTTTACCATTCGTTTTGCACCGTCTAACGGCTAGATTGACTTTATCACTGACCTGTTTGATCTGGATCTTTTTCAGTTTAAAAAATATGTTTGGGACTGATTGAGCAGCTCTTCTGTCGACACATCTTAGTTCCCATTTGGCAATGTCACTATAATATACCTTTTTTTTCTCGGTCTTCATTTTCCATTCTTTTCTGTCCACAAAATATTGTCGGGAAACAGAGGTACTCTGCATCTTTGTCTTCATACAGACTAATTGGTTTCTGGTTTTCACCAGGAGCAAAAACATATATCTTGTTTGTGTCAATATCTGCCTCATCAACTAAAGTATCTGTATTCCCTTGACCTGCCTCTTCTGAAGAAAGTTCACAAAAGTTATCAGAGGCATCTTCTGAGTCTCTATCATCTCTTGAGCTGGAGCTTCCAGTCAACTCCGAGATTATTTCATCGTCAGTATTTGTGATTCTCTCTTCCCAAGAGTGATCAATCTGTATATTTGCATTTTTGTATAACTGGCTATTTTTCATGAGCCAGTGCAATGCTTTAATCACAATTTCAGGGCGGATATTTTCTGAAAAACATGAACTCTTGTGAGATAACCGCTTTTTCAACTTCACTGCAACGGTAACATGCTCATCGATTTGTCTTGGAAGTGCATTTATTGTTGGCTGTATGTCAACAGGAACATTAACAATATTTCCTTTTGCTGATAACTGACCACCTCTTGGAAGCTCACGTATCTGCATAAACGGTATACGTTGCGATATCAACCTTTCTTCAAGAGGTTGCAGATTGAGAATTTCTGGTTTTTCAGGCCATGACATACCATTTTTAACCGAGAGTTTAGGTGTTTTGTTTTCTCTTAATGACGCAAGACAGGTCGAACAAATCCATTCTTTATCTTCAACAGATTTCAAACCGGTACAGATGTTTTTGCTTTGCAAAGGTATCCTGGTTTGCTCAAGATGAACAACACTTTTGCGAAACCATGTTTGATGACAACATGTGCAAACATAAATTGGGCCATTTGCAACTTTCATACGAAATTTTAGTATGCACTCATCTATTGTACCACCCATGTGTCTCTTTTTACTAAGTGCACTTTCATGTTTTAGTAATTCAACAGCCTTTCTTTTTGTTGCTTTTGACATTCTATTTCTACACCTTTCTGTTTGTCGAAAGAGAATCCTGTTTTCTTGCTTTTTCACTCTTTCTTTTTCCAACTGCAATGGATTTTTTCTGGAAAGTCTTTTCCTTTTTATCTCTAAATCACAATAGGCCTTGTTTTGTCGTGCTTTGTTCTTGCTTTAAAGTGAGCTTTCTCTTTCCTTAAGGATAGTTGCTAATCGTTTCCTTGATTTCTGTTTTTCTTCGATTTCCCATTGTTTGAACTCTTGACTTTGTCTGGCCTTTTTCTTGCAATTTAATGTACTTTGTCTTTCTTTTTCTTTAGTTTCCCATTCCTGTCGCTTTTTCTGTTTTGCTTTGAGTTCATGTTCCTTGAACTCCTGACATTGTCTAGCCTTTTTCTTGGAATAAAATGAGCGTTGTCTTTCTTTTTCTTTAGTCTCCAATTCTTGTCGCTTTTTCTGTTTTGCTTTGAGTTCATGTTCCTTAAACTCCTGACATTGTCTGGCCTTTTTCTTGCAATTAAATGTGCGTTGTCTTTCTTTTTCTTTAGTCTCCAATTCTTGTCGCTTTTTCTGTTTTGCTTTGAGTTCATGTTCCTTGAACTCCTGACATTGTCTAGACTTTTTCTTGGAATAAAATGAGCGTTGTCTTTCTTTTTCTTTAGTCTCCAATTCTTGTCTTTTTTCTGTTTTGCTTTGAGTTCATGTTCCTTAAACTCCTGACATTGTCTGGCCTTTTTCTTGCAATTAAATGTGCGTTGTCTTTCTTTTTCTTTAGTCTCCAATTATTGTCGCTTTTTCTGTTTTGCTTTGAGTTCATGTTCATTAAACTCCTGACGTTGTCTGGCCTTTTTCTTGCAATTAAATGTGCGTTGTCTTTCTTTTTCTTTAGTCTCCAATTCTTGTCGCTTTTTCTGTTTTGCTTTGAGTTCATGTTCCTTGAACTCCTGACATTGTCTAGCCTTTTTCTTGGAATAAAATGAGCGTTGTCTTTCTTTTTCTTTAGTCTCCAATTCTTGTCGGTTGTTCTTTTTTGCTTTAAGTTCATGTTCCTTAAACTCCTGACATTGTCTGGCCTTTTTCTTGCAATTAAATGTGCGTTGTCTTTCTTTTTCTTTAGTCTCCAATTATTGTCGCTTTTTCTGTTTTGCTTTGAGTTCATGTTCATTAAACTCCTGACGTTGTCTGGCCTTTTTCTTGCAATTAAATGTGCGTTGTCTTTCTTTTTCTTTAGTCTCCAATTCTTGTCGCTTTTTCTGTTTTGCTTTGAGTTCATGTTCCTTAAACTCCTGACGTTGTCTGGCCTTTTTCTTGCAATTAAATGTGCGTTGTCTTTCTTGTTCTTTAGTCTCCACTAGTTCTCTCTTGTTCTGTTTTACTTTGAGTTCATGTTTCTGAAACTCCTTGCTTTGTCTGGCTTTGGTCATGCTTTTAATAGTTCTCCCTCTATCCTTTTGTTTATAATCTTTGTTTTGCCTGGCTTTCTGCTTGCTTTTTATTGAACAGCAACTTTGTTTTTTTGTAAATGTTGAGCTTTGCCTTCTTTTTTGCATATATTCCTTCATATACTCTTTTCTGTTTGCAGAGGATGGTTCAAATATTTTCAAATTTGCCTTTTCCGCCTGATAGTCAAAGTATTTGTCTAGCAATGACTTCCGCACATCAGTCAGTTTGTTGATAGTGACTGGTTGAATTTCAAACTGACAGTGACTGTTCATTGAAATGTTTGCACTGCGATAAAACGAAAACATGAAATTTACCAAATGTTCTATGTTGTGAAAGGTAACTTCCATAGCTCTACCATCAACACATGAAAAACCATCAGGGCCATGTGAGTGAGAATCAAACATTGAAAAATTTCTGTTGCCATCCAGATACACTGCTGAACAAATCCCACCAACAATTATTAGACCTTGATTGTAGTTGGAAAACAAATTCTCAATACCTTCCTGTAGGTTCAATGTGTCTTGAGATTGATTCCAATTGGAATGTGTAACACAGCCGTATATCTGATCATGGTAATGAACTTCATAGTTCTTTTCTGACAAAAACACACTTGAAGGAAGTTCTTTAAACTGAAGCATCTTGAAAACAAATTTGTTTGTAGATTTTAACTCTGCCATCCTTATCCTGAATAACTCATCACCTGCTAGCAGAATATCATCAATGTGTTGTAGTTTTGATGCCTGGTATTGTGCAGTCTTTAAGGAAACCAGTGATAATAAACTAATGCAAGTGCATTGCATCCCTCTTGAAACTGCTGGAAATATTTCACTGGCCTGGTGATCTGAGCCGAAGTTCAAAGAGATATATGATTGATGGTTATAGCTATTGGTGACTGAAGATTCCACCCGAGAAGTATTGGGGTGTAAAGGTACTTCAGACAAACTTCTTGCATGAAAAAGCTGTTCTGATGTCAGCAAATTACTGGTCTTTGAGTGCAAGGTTTTAGAGCATGAAGACACTTCAGTGAATGTAACAGTTTTCATGCCCAAAGGCAATTCAAGTACAGTGTTTGTACAAGAAGGCAATTCTATGACATCATTGCTGTCCAAAGGCAGTTCACTTACATTATTAGCGCCTGAAGACAGTTTAGTTTCATCATAAGCGCTCAAAGGCAGTTTTGTTACATCAGTGGCGCCCAAAGGCAGTGTTATTATTTCAGTGGCACCCGAAGGCAGTTTTGTTACATCAGTGGCGCCCGAAGGCAGTTTTGTTACATCAGTGGCGCCCGAAGGCAAATTAGGTACCCTTTTTAAGGAGGCGGTATCCCCCCGTCTCATAATACCATTTTTTACGTGGCCAGTATCCACGAGTCTAACAGGTCTGTCGCTTGACACACAGTCACTCGTAATGTCATCAATGCTACTATTTTTTACGTGGCCAGTATCCACGAGTCGACTTTTGTTGTTCTTCTTGGTAAAGGCATTCTTCCAGTTCTTCCTCCGAGGCATCTCTCTGAAGAACAAAATCAAATTGTTTTTGTTAATATAAATAATATATTTTGCTTAATCGTTAAGAAAAACAAGAAAGAAACAACAGCAATAACTAGAAGTGCAACCAATGAAAATTAATGAAGCTTTTTAATGTGATGATTGTAGCTGGAAAAGTGAGACAATTCAGTTTACACTAGAACAGATGCCAGGATGGCATGATAAGGCTTATACCTCTCACCCATCTTCAAACCCAACTGCCAGTACTTGTTTAAGGAGGCGTTAATCCCATTATAACAAGACAATTCGATGAATTACAGTCCGCCACTGAATGTAAAATCATATGCAAAGAATAAACAGATGATCAAAACGTAATAAACTAGTAGTGTAGGAGATTGAGCCTGGACATTTTTTTTCTCTGATACTGGTCAAAGGTCACCCCTACACGCCATGATGAACCTGTACTCCAAGTATAAACTTGCAGTGACCAATAATGTAGGAGATAACCCACGGATAAACTGTTTCTTTGATACAGGAAAGGTCAAAATGTAGGTCGAGTGTTTACTTTTGATACTTGGCCGAGGTGAGCCTATACACCAAGTATGAAGTTCCAGTTACTAGTAGTGTAAGAAATAGAGTCCAGACAAACTTTTTTTTTGATGTAGGTCAAAGGTCAAAATGTATGTCAGATTCACCTACTTTTGATATGTGACATACCACCGCACCAAGGTGAACCCATACCCCAAGTGAGAAGTTCCAGTGACAAATGTAGGAGCCCTGACAAGAATGCAAAACTATAGTTCCCCCCAGTTCCTGTTAGGTGACTAATAAGCACATAAATAGAATACATGCAGGCCGTGAAATTAAGCGAATCAAAAAAGTATAAACCTTCAGTATGTGCCGACTTCTGTACATCAATCAAGTATCTAATTGTTTCGTGGAAAATTGTAGGAATTGTTATGGACAATGTTTTATGTTCAGACATAAGAAAAGGGCCATAAGCACACCACTGCCATTTAATCATGTCTATCAAAAACATTAGCTATGTGGATAACTTCCTTTTTGCTGGATTTATCAGAGAAGTTTCCAAAAAAGAGGGTGTACAAGAGATGCTAGACTGACCTCGACCCCTACCACGGAAAAAGCTTTATTTGCTTCATTAAAGATCGATCTTTTCTCTTCTTTTAAATTAAATTAAATGATATGTGTTGACAAATTTTACTGTACTTTTGTTCATCTAAACAGTCACAAATTGAACATGTATAACTAGGGACAAAGAAGACACCACAAATGACAAAATGGAAATACCAACAGAGTAATGTCTTTGGAATGGTGATGACACTGTCTCAATCGAGGATTGCCGTCTGTCGGCCATATCCTTGTTCCAATCAGTCCCAAAATTGACTAGGGACAACTAGAACCCAAGGGGAAAGGGTCTCCCTGAACTTCTCAAGAAATAGCAGTAACAAGAATAATGTAAGGACAGATCATGGATGTTTCAGAATCCGACATACTTTGTTTGACACCCACCAGGCGCGTAGCTGGGCTGTTTCCGATGTGCATGCAGAAAGTCGAACTAGCGCCAAAGGCTCAAAGCTATTGTAGAGGGCACGGGGATTTTCTTACATTGAAATAATCTCCGGACAAAAAAATCAAATACTGAAATGAACAAAGAGCAACTTTTGAAAAAATTGTCGAATCAAATTCTTTGAAGGGAGACATAACTTCATATCATGATTATAATGTATACAAAGTTTCAAAGAGATCCGTTGAAAAATGTAGGAGGAGATTACCGGACAAAAATAAAATAAAATAAACAAAGGGCAATAACTTTTGGAAAAATTGTTGAATCAGAACTCGTTTTAAAGAAAAACAACAACATATCATGATTATTTAGCTTACTAAATTTATAAGAAATCCGTCAAAACATAAAAATTTACATTTTTTTTTGTATTAACATGAAGCGTCATTTATTTTTCAAATATAACTGACAGTAAATTCAACAAAACAAGCAAGTTTCACATAGTTTATTACCTGATTTCATATTCGCTGCCATCACCTATTTTCGATAGCTAACTTTTCATTATGTTTGGTGGCCGGTAGGTATCAGAAAATATCCATAAAGTGTGTTTAATTGCGCAGAAACACCTTTGATATGGTTAAAATTTTAGAAAACAGTAATAAAATACGTAAAATGTATTTCAACTACTTGAATATAAGCAAAACAGAAAATTGTCTTGATATTGAGAGGAGGGATAGTGCAGTAGTGAACTGGGGGATTATCTTGTATATTATGCATTGAATTAAAGTCAGAAAATCAAATCATTTAACTCAAAATACTATCAGAATATTTGAACACATGTATCAGAAGTTATCATAATAAAAGTATATATATGGGTATATAACAATGCATGGATAAAAACTGAACCCTTTTCCTTCTCAAAGAGGCAGTTTTCATTTAAAGGTCAACTCTGCATTAAAAGCTCATTGCTCAAGTGATTGTTGTATCTGTACCCGTGTCTATAGTATTAAATGTTTTTTCAGTGCTTTAGTCTTTATTACTAGTTACCTGCTTTATTTATCTATTATTTATTTACCTACCTATTTAGCTTAACTTTTGCTTTGTATGGCACTTTTAAATACCAATAACTGGCAGCATAGTTTCAAGCCCCTCTCTTCTAATCATCATTATAGCTCAATATCATTTACTTACAAGACTTGTCGTCCTATTTTAATTTACACTATATTAGTGTATATTATGTCAATTTTTACTCTTTTGCATGTATGTCCATTACACTTGAAGTGTTTTAACCCTCCTACTCGATGTTTCTATGTTTGATATATGCGACGTTAAATAAAGTTTCTTGTATCTTGTTGTAAAGCCATTTTGGTCTCTGTGGAGTTAATATAGATTAAGTATGCTACAAATCTACTGTACGCCTCATGTAAATCTGACGTCAAGTGTCAAAAGTACTGGTGAAATATTTCTTACTAAGGTAACGTCGAAATCGTTATGTTCACTTAATCCTATTTCACTCAAAATTCTGGTTTTTCACAACTAAGTAGGCCTGATGTTACGATTTAGCTGTGCACGGCTAAGCTCGTGCGTGAATCCGGCCGGAGTTGCCATTTGATGAATGAATGCTATTTCACCGTTTTAAAACCAGCAATGAATGTGTTTTCCAGGTGCAATAATGTAAAAGACTCCTTAAGTTAAACCGATACACAAAACACAAAAAATTACCTACTAAACACTTTGAAAACACCACCTGAATGTTATTGTGGGCAAGCTTTTTTCAGTGCGTGTCTTACATCTGTTACAGATCCCATAATGCATCACGTCCGAGAACAACTTCCGGTTTCGTGATGGCAAGTTCAGATCCCGTCGTCTACATTTTTTTATTTTATTTTTACAAAATAACTTAAATACAAATGATAATGTACCTGATAAAAAATACTGATTTAATGATTCCCTAATGTCATTAAGACTACCCAATAATCTTGATGAGACCAAAAACAGTGAAAAGAATTATTTTTATTTATCAAAATTTGCCCCACCCATCAGCCCAGGGGGTTCAGTCAGGACTTGTATGTGCATACCATCAAACTGCTACCGAATACTGATAATGCTAACCTAAATTGAATTACTTCCAATGGAAATTAAACAAATGTTGGTCCAAAATGTGATTTCCCTATATAAACTATAGTAAAGTTTACCCCCTCCCCAGGGGGAAACGTGAGACCCCAGGGTCAAGAAATTCACAATTTTGGTAAAGCACCTTAAGACCCTTCCATCT